TGAAACCATGCATAATAAACAAGATTGACTGTTTTTCATCGTTTTTTTATTTTAGCTTATCTATTTTCTATATTTGATATTTATTATATCTATGCAGTGTAATTTTAATTCTCCATCTATAATCCGGATCTTTTCGACACAAAAGAGATGTTTTATGATTAAGTTATGTAAATCTATTTTGTTTCATAATTTTTGTTCAAATTTCAATTTTTATTAAATGAAAATTTTATAAGTTAAAAGATCCAGATTGCAGAGAGTACGAATATAATTGCAGACGGCAGTTTTTATACGTGTATCAAAGTGTACCAGATTTAATTTCTCACTTCACATCGCGGTTTAAAAACTTCCTTTGTCCCGTGACGTCCCTCATTAACTACGATTGCAACCTTACCAAACCTTCCCACTCTAAAAAGGTAGAATTAAAAGAAGGAACTGGAATTGATTACATGGTTCGCATTTTGTAAATTAAAAATCTCATCAAATTGCATTCGGGTACTTATAAATACGTTTGCTGTGGATCGGTATATGTGTGCGTGCGTGGTAGAATATTCTAGGTAGCTTGAATGAAATTGGATCCGCCCGGGCGAATCCGGAGAACGTAGGGAAGGAAGATTCGCCAAGATTCTTCGGGTAGAGACGAGGAAGAAAGATGGTTTCGTTCGAACGAATAATCAGGAGGAACCTCTGGTAATCATTTCGTGCCAATCGAGTAGTTTCCTCGTGCAATCTCGGCCTTGGTGCACCTACGTGGCTTCTCCCTCTAAATCCGCGCACGTGATGCATCCGACTAACGACCCTCTCGGGGAGCCAAAACGTGTCTCTCGAATTAAGCACCTGACACTGGATAGATCGAGAAGGAACCCCGTAGGAATTATTTCTGTGCAATAAACGAATTGACTTCGCGCGCCACGGAATTTTCGAGAAAAGTTACTAAGGTGCGTAAGACGAAAAAATATTACAGGATTGAACGTGCTGGGAAAAATTTAGTATGGATGCTGTCATATATCTAAATAAAAGCGAAGTATTATGGCTATAAATTTTATTTACTGTCTTCATTTAGCCAGACTTGTGTAACATTAAAGTTGCTTAAAGAATAAATAGCTACATATATATTTTGTGATATCATGTATGTGAAAGATTTAGAAAGATATTATCCTGACTTTTCTTTATAGCGCATCTTTATAACACTTATAACATTTATAATCATATAATAAAATGCCTGAAAAAATCAGAAAAAGTATTTTTCGTTAGTATCTTTTTGCAAATTTTTATTACATTTATGTTGAGCTCTTTGTCGTACGACGTGTCATCTCTTATGCGTATAAAAATTATTAGCCAAATAGATGACACAACATTGAAGAAACAATTGTCTATTTTATTTTCCTCTCTAGCACGTACACAGCGTTCTATTTTCACGCGTTATGTTCGCGTCGAGCATTCGTTTTGCTGAGCGCCAAGTTTCATTCCGAGCGAAGTATCCCATCATTACACGTCAGCGAGTCAAAGAACGGAGACCTCGATCAAGGGGACGAGGGAATAGAAAAGCGAGGAAGGTATTGCCAAAGTTCGACGAGCTACCCCCGTCCACCCATTAGCGTGTCAGTCATTCCGGCCGTGTAATTAAATTCCGTGCGCCAATGTCGTCGCGCGGATTCCTGTCCTGCGCGATCAAATCTTTTCTGAAGCTGCCGCATCCGTTCTCTCTTTCTCCCTCCATTTTTTTCCCTATCTCTCTCTCTTTCTTCCTCTCCGCTTGATTCCTCGAAATCAGCTTGGCGCGTTCTGTGGACGGTATCAATATTTTCCCTAGGAAAAATGTCGGGTCAGCTCCCGGGAGAGAACGAGGGGCGAGGGAAGCTGCGTTGCGCGGAGGGTGATATTCTTCCGGAGGGTCTCCTTGACATCAATTCTACCCATTTCCACGTTTTACCGCGTTTCTTACCGCTCTGCAGTCTCATTTTCAATTTATCCTTGAAACCTTTTATTGCATTTTTCGTTTCTCCCACCCCGTAACAGAGGACCCTCCGGCGAGTCGAATGGACTCGCGCGAGTACAACAGATAAAACGAAAGTTTGTATCGCCACGGGGTCGCTTGCTTAGAGTAGGAGGCCTGGGGGGGAGTCTGATTAATGGACTTCTTGCTGTATAACTGGCGAGAAAAAAAAATAGTCGGGAGGAGGTCGGTCGGTGGCACCGCGCGGAGAAAGCTGCACTGCTATAACTGTATTATAGTCGATTAATTGGAGTTGTTAGGCGTTGTAATCATCTGATTGCTGTTGTTTAATTATACCGAGATGACTCGCACAATTGTCTCTTTCTGCATTATTATCTCGTACAATTAATATCTATTTGTACAATTTTAAAATCTTATAGATGTGCGAGAGAAAAAAATTTTTAATTATATTTTCTAATCTATTTAAAAAAAGTGAACTTTTTATCTGTCACCTTAAACATACATGAATAATTGATAGAATATACATATAATATACACTGCAAATCCGAGTGTGTTATTTTAACACACTTTTCCTGTGTAATTTTGAGGAAACCACGCTTATTTGCGTTATTTTAAAACATGTAACCGTGTAATATGTCAATTTAACACGCATTATACGTGTTATAATACGTATACGTTTCCAAGACGTGTAACATAATAAAACACTTTGTTGTTATAAACGGATTATAAGTTTTAAACGTGTTATAAGGAAACGTTTATTCTCAATTTACTTGTTTGTACAGCTTACACACTTACACGTTACTTAATTTACACGTTTAGAAAAGTACACGGATATGCACGTAAGAATACAGACATCTTGCGCACTGAACACGGATAAACGCTTGTGCGCAACATTCTCGAATACTCCATGGTGAAAACTTGTGATGTTCCATCATGGCTATACCTTGGGTACGTGTTGTGTTACTAGTCTGTTGCTGTGTGTAATGTTTTCAAGTGAAAAGTATATTATATTTCATAAATTTCATAAATTTCCTAACGATAAAAAAGAAAATATATTGTTTAATTGGTGAACGCTGTAAACGCGTTACATTTTCGTTTCGAGAACAGACCTCCAATGTTCAAGTTGTATGTGATCGTTTATTGGAAACAAAAATATGATTGTACACATACAAAAATATATAAAATATATTTAAAAATAAATTTGTTTTTTATTTTAGCATATGACTATTATATCCAATAAATTCATGTTAAACCTATTATTAACACGTGTCCATTTGATATAATACGTTCAAAACGCGTTTATTAAGACGTTTTTAGTGTGCTGTAATATAAAATAGCAGCGAGAAATATATATTAAAAGTGCTTCGTCAAATAACACACATATGTATTTTAAAATAACACACTATCGATTTGCAGTGTAGTACTAATATTATCGTGCCACGTATTTATTTTTCTTTCTCTATGACTGTTACAGAGCGATATCATGGAGTTTTCCAACAAAAATTTGCACCAAAAAAGTCGCCAACGCAAAGACGTAAACTCCGAAAATTGTTTCGCGTAAGAAACACTGCGACTGTACATCGTTGCTAATTGACAGATAGAGGAAGGAGCCAGCGGCGGGGAGTAACTAGAAGCGGGAATGAGAAGAGGATCGAGCGGAAGACACGAAGCAGCGTTCGAAATTTACGAGTGAGTCGGTTTGCTTGCACGTCGTGGGGTCCAAGATGGTGTCTAGGGGCGGTCGTGCGCCGTAACAAATGGTTCAGCCGTGAACCCGCTCGCCGTGCAACGACACCGGAAACAGGCGGCAGCTATCCAGCGAACGAGCGAGCGAACGAGCAGAGAGATCCGCAAGAATTCGCGAGGACACGGATGTGAAGCTTACTCCGGCCATCTCTCCGCGTGGTGAATTGTTCCGAGGCACGAAAGCCGAACGGTGGAATCGCACTCGTTTACAACGAAATTGCCCGGAGACAAGATGATTCAGAAATGTCGACGATGAAACAGCGCACGTTTTGTTACGATCGTCCTGTGAGAAAACGCGTCGTGACTTTCTAATACACGTTTGTGAGTGTAGAGATGACGAGGTGTCGCGTATTTCGTTATTGAGATCTTGATGACAGTTGATCCATGATCAACTCGACCAGATGGGTTAAAAAATTGTGGTTTGCGATTGACGGCACGGTCTCGTGCTGCTTGCGATATGGCGATCATACCGCATTCTCGAAAGTGCAACAAGTGGTGTCCAGATTCTCAATGCTGAGACATCATCGATGTTACTCGACAGACAGACGAGAGGATTTGATCCGGGACCGATCAGATTCGCGACCGGTTGGAGAGTCTCGAACAGGAGGACCGCCGTTGTTTCCTAGAACGATGCCAACAGGATTAAGCGCGTCTAATGAACTTTGAATCTGTTTCGCCTGTCTTAAATACGATCATCTTGAAATTTCTTCGTCAGGATTCTCTTTGCCGGTCTAAGTAGATTTACCTCCGCTGGGAGAAAACGTTCGACCAACGCATCGAGGAGTCCCGGTCCGATGCTGTTCGTTAACCTCGTCAAAGAGTACTTTATTGATCGCGGGATCGAAAGGTAGACGACGAATAGCTTCTCCAAGCTAGGATTTTAACTTGATTCCAACCGCTGGCTTCCGTTGAACTCGAGTATTGGAATTCACTGACATCGTCTTCATCAGGATGATATATAAAAGTTAAGAAAATTTTAATTTATACGATAGTTCGCCTATAACAGGGGAACTAGTGTTATTAATGCACATATTTTAATTCGTTGAAACATAACGCGATTCAATGTTGCACGTGACTGTTCTAAGAAAGACTGCAAACGCGAGTCCATGGCGACGAAAGTGTTCTATGCTGTGCAGACGAAAGAAACGCTTGCCGGGCATCGACGATTCTTGGGACTGCTACCTGACCTCTCAACGGCAATTCCGTTGACTAACGTAGCAGCACCGTTCGCGTTCGTATGCCGCGGGCAAACACGTCTCGTGACTCGTTCGAGGACGAAGACTTCGCCGCGATAATCCAGTCAAAACGTTGTTGGATCCGCAGAGACGTCGTCGAATGAGACGATGGTGATGAAGATATCCGCAAGCGAAGCTGGCGTTCCTCTATTAGGCGCCGTCGGTCCGCGCTACGTCGTCAAACAAGCGACGGTGAAGCGCTGTGTCCTGGCGTTGTTGCTCGTCTCCATCGCCAGTATATTCTACTACACTTACTACATCGTCAGCAGTGGGCCGCTATCCAGGTAAGTCCAAACATGCAATCAACTATTTTGTCTCTAAAATGAGAGCCTGATTGTTTAAGTAATAAATTCGAGACTACAGTAATTGGTTAGCAATAAATTAACACTTAATTATGGTATGCGGGCAAACCTGTTTTTAATAGCGAGGGTGTCAGCTTTACAAGACAAATATGTTAGAAAGTAAACAGAAACATTGTGTAAAAAGTGAACACGAAGATAGTAACACTGGCACAATTTATTTCTTCATTATTTAATATTTCTTCATTAAAATTAACACATCTCTTATTCATTTATCTTAGAATTTATGTTTTAAAATATTATTTTTACTTGTTTGCTTACTCGTAAATTATGTTATTTCAACACTACGAAATGTTAAATATCAATTTAGCATAAAATATAGCACAATCATATTATATTAAGTTAAATTAACAGCTAAAATATATTAAAAATTCAACACAAAATTTTAACAAGAACTTAAATGGATCGTTTCTAACTCAAATGCAAAATAGTTTTTACTGTGTATAAATTAAATGTGACACACATAAACAAATTAGAACATATAAACATATTATTTTTTAAAGATATAGAACTTTTTTAAATTATTTGATCTAGATAAGTAGAATAGTTTGGAAATATGAATTCTGAGAAAAACTACCGTCTGCTTGAGAATATTATTTACGGTACACGGTGTAAACAGAGTAATGCTTAATTAGCACAAGATTTTACATGCAACATCTGCTGCTGGCAAAACTTTGAAAACTTTTTACACAATATTCCGACGTGTTCATGGAAAAACACTTATAAAACTACTTCGGATTGTTGACTTTCGTTATCTTGGTCAAGAATAGTCGCAAAAACAGTCGTAAAAATGTAAAATAAAGAGCGTAACTTTCCACATTGCTACGTAGTAGAATTGCGTAAACTTTGAAATACATGTAGTTTCTGTAATAGTGCGGCAATAATAGCATGCAAATGCAACGGAAAACACACCATTAAAGACCGTGCGGAAGCGAGTTTACAAGGAGCGATTAGTATTGAATGGCGAGGGACGAGTCGTTTGACGATAGGTGAAGTAGAATGGCGACACTTTTAATTACTTTGTATGCAATCAAGCGAGTCAAAGCAGACCAATTAGAGCCGTGAGTTGGCTGACCGTCGCGCCAGCCAGTTCGTAACTCTGAAATTGCGTGGTCGCGTGCAACGTTGCTAGTAGGGGATCTTCCAGCAGAATCTCGAGCGTCGCAGACAATTTTCATTGATGTCTTATTTTTCACGTGGCGACGATGCGGGAAAGTGGAATCTATAAACGAACGCGATTGGCAATTATCGGCAGGAAGTATTTTATCACAGAGACACACGTTTTAATTGTGAAATCTATAATCTTCATTGATATCAGCAACTGAAAATCCTTTATTTAAAATAATGAATTGTGCTGATCATTAATTTCATTAAGAATATACAGCCACGATCTCATCAGTATAATTAAGTAAATAATATTAATGATACACAGATAATGGAACATCAACGGTCTTATGATCTCGATAATGGTCGAGATAATTGCAAACCACTTTTATATAGAATCCGGAGTCACGAGAAGCATCAATGAGAAGCGACAAATAATGGATAGAAAAACAAGAGCGCATGTATAATTTTTTTGCAATTTTGCAAATATAATGATTATAATATATAGCATCTGAAGAAATTCTACGGAAAGCAATTATTGATGCAGAAATATCGGTAGTATCAAAGCGCGTTAATCTAAGTTCGCAGTAGCGTATTTCCATGTCCCGTAGTAATAAAATATTTTTGTCACGCAGCCGACACACCGTCCATTATACATAAATATACATGCGGTTATCAAGAAAATTGTATACAGGAGAATTATACTAATTACTTTCGATAATCAAAGAATAACCGACGCATGAAATTATCATTGACTATACTGCAGGATGTTTCATATCTTTAATTACATGTTGCGTGCTGCATAACAGTGCCTGAAATGTTGAATTAATCATTATTAACGAAAATTATATCTTTTATATCATTTTTCTTTTCCATGGCGTAACATTTCTCTTAGCTATCTAATATTGAAAAACAGCGTTACAAATTTTGAATGCTTTTAAAGTGATACAAAGCGTGCCTTTGATCATTCACTTGATAAACGAGCAGTAGGCAAACGAAGATAGTCGTGAATTTTAGGAAGCGCGGATCTCTTCTACCGTTGTAAACTACCCGAGAACTCGCATGTAGGAAGTACGAACAAGTTGCGTAAAGACGAAATAGTTTGTGGACTCTGCGAATTGGCAGGTACCTTCAGACTTAGAGACGATCCTATTTAAATGTACGAACGCAAGTTTATATATGTATATATACACATACTATAACGGTTGTGTACATATTTCCGTAATATAATTGGCCCAATTCCAGTTTTCTTCGATATCCTGCAGTCCTGTAGGATTGCCTGACTACGATGCCCGCCGCCCGTCAGACAGAGAAGTAAATTTACAGTTAATTAGAGAGGAACTGAACAACCTCACGATCACTAAGACGCTCGCTCTGGTTCTGCGGTTCTATTCAGTTCGTCCCCATAATAGCGAGACGACATGCAAGGTATATCCGTGTATATTTGTTGAAAAATACACGATAATAATAATCGCACAGCACAGCAGAGTGCACTTCCGAAATACAATATCTGAAATGAAACGTGTCGCGTGAGCGTCAAGCGCCTGATATTTCCAAAGGTGCGGAAATTATATTGTGGCCGATGTTTTAGCCATTACGTACACGCGAAGTTTCGCATTTTTCTCGCACGGGAATCAAAGTAATTAAAGTATAATTTCCCTCTCCCCTCTCGCGCGCCATGCGACCCGGTCTCGTTGAGTGAGAGCTTAACAAGTTTTCTTCGACACGTAGTCGAGACGAGATTGTTCTGAAAACTGATCCGAAATATCGCTTATGTCAGAGGGGAAAAAGTTGGGGATATATTTTTCATGCGGCGCGATGGTATCGCCGCCAAGTTGCAAACCGCGATCTTCAAGAATGTGTAAACCGCACATTTACACGACCGCAAAACTCTTCCCCCGACGACAGATCATAATTTACTCGCTGCAATACTAACGGACGTATCTGTTATCATAAAATATTCGTTATTATCCTACAACTATGTTTCATATGGGAGACTGGGAAGTCGAGATATATGACTCGTTATTACAATGTGTTATTACATCTAGAGACCGGCTCATAAATCCTCGTGCACGCGCTATCAAGTTAGTTGATAATACCACGATCTTACGTGGATCAATCTTAATAGATAAGCCGCGACACCTTGGAATTCTGTAGTCGATCACAGTATACAGGTATGCTCTCGTCAATCATTGAGTTTAATACACACCAGTACAGACATTGACATGTAATATCACATCTATATATACTGGCAGCTTCACCATCTATATAATCCAGACTGGACAATCCTATTGGCAAACATACGATGATATCTTGGAAATTGTATTGCGAGATATTGCATCTTGGTATTTATAATTACATTGCTAGTTTAGATAAGACAAGATGGACTATGTAGTACGTACTATTTATCGAGAGAGAAGCTCGATATGAAACTACTCGGATTAATCATCTAATTGAGTTTAAATTTTAAATTTTCTTTAATGATTCTCATGGATGGCTATATCATTAATTGTTATATATATATAATTATAAAGATACTGTTAGAGTGATAAATTATAACTAGATTTTTCTATCGGTGATATTTTCTATAAAAATGTATTGCGAATTTTTACATGTATAACGAATATTTTTAGCGGCGTTCTCAAAGAGCGTCTGTCAGCGACGTCACTCCTGTAGTAAAATGCATTATCGCGATGGCAGTAACAAATTAGCGGAATCCACAGACACACAACGTAGCAATTTTAGATCACTCGTAGGATTCTGCTTCGTCGCGTTGCGATAGTGTCAGCTGTCGCGGCGTCTGCAGCTATATGCATCGCCGTTTTTGTGCGCGAGCGCGCTATCGCGCGATAAATCGTTGTTTTTGGACAGTGACGCGTAAACGCTATTTAAAGTAGGATGCCGGGGCACAAAGGCAGCGGCAGGAAATTTATCGTTAACGGTGTCGTTGGCTCATTTTTTTCCAACGCGTCGTAACGCAAGTCTTCCCCGTGAGAGAGCCCTGAAATATAATAATATCTCACGGACTTCCGTCGGTTGTACCACTGACAAAAAGTACATTCATCTCCGTTGAATAATTCTTTTGCCATTAATCTGAGAAGTCGCGATTACTCTGTCATCGCGATGTTCTTAATGTACAGGTGTCGACTGTGGATGGAGAAAATTGTTCGCGCAACGATATTGTCGCGAAAAATTGTCTCCTGTTAAACACGAGCGTATATACACGTGCCAAGTAAAAAGTGGAAACGCATTCGCACTAGATACGAGAAGTGCAACTGTATATCTTCTGCCTCTTCTTCTTCTTCACTTTCTGTCTCTTTCTTTTTATACCTGATAAAACGAGAAACAATCGCTCGATCTATCTCGCGTAAAGGTGCAGTACTCTGAAGAAAGAGAGACGCGTTCCCTGTCGTGGGACGTGAAATGCGACCGGATGTTTGTCGCACGCCCAATCAGCGTCAATTCAAGCTTCTCCTCTCTCGACTGGCCTTACGTCGGCGCTAAGCTTCCCACACGCACGTATGTAGTTACTTCCCATCACTAGCCACGCGCCTTTTGCATGATACATCTCATCCTGCTCTTGAACCCCACCCGAGAACGGTGTGATAAAAATTGTCGATTACGATAAAGTTTTTCTATCCACATAATGCGTTTTATATCAGTTAATTTTCTAGGAAGATGTAGAATATGCAATGCATGCACATATAATCTTCATGTATTTAGATTAAGCTAGAATGGTTAGTCATTTTTTTAATTTCGAAAGATATTTTTCCAATGTTTCCTTGTAATCTGTCTTAACTTATCAAATATCCAAAATTCGT